ACTTGGGACCTTGTGCTTGCAAGGCATGTGGTGGAACCACTGAGCTAAACCCCCGGCCCTAGATGGTCTATTTCTAAAGAAGACATTTCCATTTTTTGTTCATCTTAGTGGAGGACAAGTGGTCTACAAATGACCGTGTAGGCAAAAATGGGCAAGGCAGACATTCTTTTCATGCTCATGCACATCAGTGCTGTTTAGAGGGAGAACATCCACAATGTAGTCTTTAGTAAGGAGAATGGATTATGAACAGCAAGAAGGGCAAAGAAAAATGAGGGTGAATGTCTATGGATGTAGGAAAATTCCAGTGAAATAACTGCCTATAAAAGAGTGATAATACTGAGCCACCTGAAGCGATTCTCTGCCTATAAACCCACCTGGGTACTTGAGGTTTTTCCCATTTATCTATAAGTGGGCCAAAGCTTAGACTTATTATTTTTTTTGCCAATATGTACATAATGTAGCAAAAAGAAAATAACAATGGCTACTTAGAAACAAGCGAGCAGCTCATTATACTAGATGTACTGATGATGAAAATGGATATCCCACTCAGCAAAAGCATTTTATCTAAAATCTTTAATATGCTCTCTTTTAATTTCTCCTTTTATCTCTTGCTGATGGTTTTTAAAAGGCAACATAATTAGCTTTTTATATGGCTACAGAATGGTGCTTTTGCAATTCCCTATAATGAAAGTATTTATAAAAGTCTAAAGAACACCTGGGATTATTTTTAAGTTCTGCACTTCATAAATATAAATGACAAAAATATGATTGAGTAGGATTAAAATACATCATTATTGTATAAGAATTCAAAAGTGAAATTAAATCACTGAACCTAATGCAGTGAATTAACAACATCAAATGTTTATTGTAGACTATCATATATGAAGTAATATATTGAAACAAACTATCTCCTCTGATATAATTAACAAAAATGAAAATTTACTTTATATTTATTCCTTTTCCTTATCATTCAAATTGAAATATAATCTGTCTGTTTTCTAAATTCCATGCTGGCACTATTGCGAATGCAAATGTGGATAACTGTAATCTTGTTTCATACACTGACAACTACAGAGGATGCTCTTGGGTGATGATGAAAATAATGAGTGAGCAGGCACTCTGGCAATGGCATATGCACTGGAAATGCCAGAACATGGCAACTATCGAGCTACTAAATAACACATTAGAAACAAGATAGTTTCATTGACCCAAAGTCTTATAATAGGACATGGTGATTTTGCACATTAAAAATGGATGTAATTCAAACTACTGCCAATAAAACAAGCCTAAGGAATACATCTGAGTAAAGAATCATTTCAGTGTGCATCAACAAAACAGAAACAAGCAAGCAAAGTGCGTGCTGCTTTGTGAGCCAATCGAGGCCACACTATTGATGAGGGCAAGGACATGTGTGTGACTGCAGGGGAGGAGCTGAGGAGGTGCCAGCCTTGCAGGTGGACAGAAGGGACCTGGCACTCCCGGCACCTGGACCGGGTCTGTCTCCTGAGACCACACCCAGTGCCCACACAGCACTGCATGGCCAGTTAGCTTCTCCCATCTCCCTTCCCAGTGCTTGGGATGGAAAATATGGCTGTTCTGGTTAACACCGAGTTAACACATGCAAAGGAAAAAAGGCTGCCTCCTGCAGAATAAGATTTAATAAAAATCCAGTATTGACAAAATCAGAATACACATTCTTTTCAGCTTCACATGGGTCATTCTCCAAAATAGACCACATGCTAGCTCATAGGACATGTCTAAGTAAATGTAAAAGAATTGAAGTTACCCCTTGTATATTATCAGACCATAGTG